GTGCTAGGAGAAGATTCATTGTAGTAGAGGCTATTTGTAGCTCAGGTGGATGGTCTTGGTTGTACTGTGTTCTCTGAGAAGCTGGGTTGTTTAATCATGAAGCCTTTATCATCTTGCTAGACAGCATCATCATCAGCACTAACTTCAGTATGAATCGTCAACTGTGAATAACTCTCCATCAGCGATTTAGTGGCTTACCCTGATGAACTGGTTCCTGTTTGATTGTTTCCTTTGATTGTTGTGTCATTGACTGATTGCATAGATTTTCCTGTTGGCTGTTCCTCTGCTTAATCTCTAACCTTTCTATCATTGACCACTTTCCTTATGGATTGAAAGATTGAGATCCATGTTTATACATCTATTGATTGCTAACTGACTGTCTGATCTGAATGCCAAGCTTCTAGGGATTCTCTGATATTCTTTATGTTTCCTCTTTCCGTCGAAGATTTGTATATTGTCAAAGTTGAATTGGACAATTTGGTCGCCCTGTCTTCATCTACATGAACATCAATTGACCATTAAACGTCACACACGACATTTCAGCACTCATCGCTCAATCCATGTGGATACCAACTATAAACATAAATTCGATTTTGATAAGGTAGAAATCTTTGACAGAGAGAGGAAAAACAAAGAATGTCATCAGAGAATTCCTAGAAGCTTGGCATTCAGGTCAGTCAGTCAGCAATCAGTAGATGTATAGACATAGATCCCAATCTATCAACCAATAAGAAAAATGATAGAAGACAGAAAGGTGAGAGGTGAAGCAGAGCAACAGCCAGCCAACAAACAGGAAAATCTATGTAGTCAGTCAATGATACAACAATCAAAGGAAACAACCAATCACTGACCGCTTCGTCAAGACAAGCTACTAATAGAGATATATTGTGACAGGTGACTTCATACTAAAGTTAGTGCTGATGATATTGTCTAGCAAGATGATGAAGGCTTCATGATTAAACAACCCATCTCCTCAGAGAATACAATACAAACAAGAAGTTGCTTTATAATGGAAAACATTTCAGGATTGTCAGACCAAAGCGTGATAACTGTCCATGAAGTACCTGACTATTGGTTTAATCGGTATAGGGAGATGTAGACTGTCTGTCTAGGATCTCTATTCACCTGTTCTTTGTATACTATTATGAAATGTGGTAACTTGAACTTTGATGCATGTGTGTATGAGGTTCCACGTTGATTTTCACTGTTGGTGTGATATAGTTGACTTTATTAGGATGTTCATAGTCAATTATTCGTTAGATGACACGTGATAGTATAGTTGAGAAGTGATCACAGTGGTGCAGTAGTAGTAGTGATAGAAGCAAGAAGACAATGGGAGAGTAGTCGTTAAATATGGTACACCTTGCCTTAAAACTGTCGTTTGCAAAATGTATTTCATTTCCTCTTTTGCTTGTTTCTTGATTTGCTCTTTATGTGTTTGCCTTGTCTCTTGTGTTTCTCTTGGCCAATTTTTACCCATTGCTGGTAATTCCCTATGATTTCTGCCACCCTCTCAACATATACTACCTATATCCATTCTTATCAGTGACGCCCTCTACAGTAGTAGTAGTAGTACTAGCAGAACACATACGTCCTCCCCCGCTTCATCTTCAACGTTTTGATAGTTTTTAGTCACCTCCGCCTAGTTTTTTTTCCCTCTCACACACTTTTATCGCCTTTAATATCGCTCCTTTTCTGTTGACTTCCTCTCTGTTTTGTTTTAAAGTGTGTAACATTTTGAAATGATGCGTTTCTATGCCTCAGGTTTCACGTTGATTTTTCTATCTTTGTTAATTTATACCAACAATCAACAAGCTTTAATTCAGACTGGGTACGATCAAACAAAGAGAACATTGTACACTTACCTTTGATGGTTGGATTTGTATTCCTCAGCTAGTGGAATTCGATCACTGGTGATTTCTTAAACCATTTTAACCTTGGTTACTGGTGACTAACATTCTTTGGGAGAACTGTTGAGGTCTCGGTCTGACTGAGCTGTGAAAAGTGTTTTGATTGCAGGTTGAGATTCATCATCGATTGACGTCAGTTGGAAGTCTATTGAGTACCCTGGAGCTCTGGGTGGCTGTTTTCTTCTTAGTATGGGACTTCTCGGTACTGAGCACCCACAAGCTTCATGTTCCACGACCAGGACGTTATCATTGAGGCATTGAGATGAGATTACCGAAGTTGTAGTGAAAAGTTGTGACCGATTGGGCCGACCAAGTCGGAAATGAGGACAGCTACTCAAACGACGGCATTGGATGGAGGCCGTGTGATATGAAGCACTGGATTCTAACCCAGTGCCTCAATGGTAAGAATGACTTTAAAGGCTAGCCTAGAAACAACTGAAATAGCTGAGAAGGCAGATTTTCATGAAATCAAGAAATCTGGTTGTTTATTTTACCTGTTGAGAAGGTGGTCTTTAGAACCACTCTAGTAGCAATAACATTACTGGCCGCGGAACCTGAAGTTCCGTGGGTTTGACCTCTAGCGGGGCCATAGAGGTGCACTGCACTGTTGAGCAACCCCGTACTAGGATGAAATAGTTGTTCTATGCTTCCAGCCTTGTCAATGGTTCTCCATCTGGTTTCAATCCATGATGGATACCAACTTGAAATGATGAACAAATAAATCTCTATAAACTTCCAAATTGAAAAAGTACTTTGAGTTGACAATTCTTGTTTAGTTTGGATGTAAGAACTTTTATGAAACGGACAGAAAATGATGATAAAATGCTTCCCTTGAATGACTTTAACTCACGGTTGTACATGGATACGGGAGGTCGAACCATCTTATGATTCAGTGTGACTGTCGTCTTACAGTAGTGCTCGGAGATGATGATGACGATGACGATACTGACAGCATGTTCCGCCCGACGACGTGTATTTCTCAACAGTGGATATTCCCTTTTTTTTGTTTTTTTTTATATATATATATATATATATATATATATCACACTCCATTGTTCGAATCCATCTGGTTGAATATAATGGAATTGTTCACCTTTAAATGTTTTGCTTGAATGACCCTGAGTAGTACATATAATGGAATAGGTGAGGTTTCAGTATAGATATTAAGTATCTCGCAGTGTTGACAGAGACTGTTCAATAGCGTATCCATCTTCACTATAACTAGAACTACACAGGTATATCGAGGCATCCGCATAGGAGCCCATATACTAATAGAGACCGATCAATTCGGTCCATCAACGACGGTGTAATACAAGCAATTATACTAAAACCATACCCGTCGCATAAGAAACGGCTAACTTGGCTCGGTGGTGTAGTGGATGACGCTCTGGCGTTTGAAGCGACCGCTCCCTAGTTCGAATCCTGGTGGAAACAACATCACTCACTGGGAGGCAGGTACATCCAGCTGACGAGTCCCAAATAGGACGAGATGGGAATCCTGGATTTCACTGCTAACCACTATGCATTTTTACTATCACTAATACTGTCTAGCAGTATCCTCGATACAACCGTCTCGTATATATACACACACACACACACACTTGTACAGATATAGTCAAAGTAATAAAATAATCAACAAATTACTGAGTTGCAAGCAAAGCTGATTTGTTGATGTCGAAAAAATTGTATTTCATAAGACTAGCAGAACATATTTTCAAGAATTGTAGAAGGATTCGTGAAAACAGTTTTTGAATGCATTCGGTCGAATACAATGTCTCTCAACGTTGTCCTTTGAAAGGATTGAACATTAAATGATAGGATTTTTGTTTACTAATTTCTCTATGCTTTAATAAGCCTATTGTTTTAAGTCATCTCTTCTTCACACTAACATTCCTTTTATCGTTTGACTTTACAAGGATTGACTTGGTCCCAGGAGACTGCTTGATAGTTCTAGAGTACACAGATGATATGGTCCTATTAGGGGAAAGACTGTCAGAAGCATTCAGCAACCTTGTGCACATTTGTGCACAAGGCGATTAGTCACACATTATGTAAAGGCTAGCTGGTGACACTACCTAGATACCCAAACCTCGGTATATGGAGCAGTGAAAGTCAAAGATGCTGAAAAGATGCGGAGTCTTTTGGACACATTGGGTGGCAACTTTAAAGTGTTTACGATGTGTTTCTCATCGCTCAGATGAAAATTGTTGCCCCATGATTAATCTTTGCTAGTACCTTACTGAGCAGTAATAGGGAATAAACTGTTTGTGCTTGTTGACCACTTCACCTACTTGATAAGTTGGGTCAACCCTGATGGGTCAGTGGCCGATGTAATATCTGCATGGGTGCAAAAGCTTTGGTTGGCTTTCGTCGAATTATGCCTTCTATGATGCTACTGTGATATCCAACTGTCCATTAAGAATCAAGTGTACTGCGTTGCAATTTGTTCTCTCCTACTGTATGGCTGCGAAACATGGTACCATCAAGTCAGTAGTGCATTCTTCAGGCGTAGTTTTTCAGAGGAGAGAAAAGTCAGTTAATAAGGCTGTGAACCTAGTCACCGTCTATCTCTCTGCACAACTTTAACCGAAGTATTTCGAGGCTAGGAAAAGGTAAAATGCGGCGAAAATGAAGCATGACATCATTCCCTGAAGTCTTTGACTATCTTTCAGAGGCATTAGAGGAAATGTATACTTCTCGGTTGATAATCTGGGTAGCAAGTGAAATCGGTGATTGGTAATTCTCGGTAAGATGGCCTATAATTCATCTAGATGTTGCAGTTTTGTATCCACACATTATCTTCATTCTAATAGGTATGCCGAATTGTATTATTGTTTCATTCCTTCTTGTTCTGGTTCTACTTTCTACCCTATTCGACTAATTTATCTTGGTGTATTCTCGCTTGATGTGAGATGCGACAACTTGAAGCGCGTTACACAGCAAAGCCAGATCCTGCATTGATACTGACTACTGACAACATCACTACGTGTGTGTGTGTGTGTGTATATATCTATGCACAATGATACCGTTTTCGACTGATCAACTAATAATTCGAGGCATTTCTTTTCCTCGCTTTTTCTTTGCTTGCAGGTCGTTCGCGCTTTTGATGAATTAACCGGTGAAGAGGTGGCTATCAAGGTGATTAAGAACAAGCGTTCTTTTGTACAGCAGGCTGAAGTTGAAATTAAATTACTTCGTGAAATGGCTGTATTTCAAGCTAATGAACAATTGGCTACAGAAGTTGGAGCTAATTACATTGGTAAGCTTTCTAAAGAAAAAAACAATACTTTTTTAAATGTTATTTTCCTTGTTCGAATTAAAACATTTTTTGGTAAAAGTTGACGATTCTGTTGATTTACTGGCCTGATAATATTTCGATACAACTTTATTGGTTATTTCAAGGGCGATTTAAGTCTTTGCAAGACCTGGTGAGGAGTCATGCTCATGTCCACCCAATGCAAGCATAATATTATACCGCACCATCCTGGAGAGACTAAACGATGCACTGGATTCAAAACTACCACCATAACAGCCTGACTGACTTCACGAAGAACAAATCATGTGTACATCAAATTGTAACGCTACGCTACGCATCATCATACAACAGAATACAGAATGGCAGTCAACTCTCTACCTGTACCTCAACTTTATCGACTTTGAGAAGGCTATAGACATCGTCGACTGACAAGTAATTTGATAGGCAGTCGCTTCACCACTACGGAGTGAATGCCACAAATCCTTATCAACCTCATTCAACTGCTATTCTCATCTCTTAAGTTCCAAGCGAGTAAGCTATCTAGTGCATATTGTTTATCGGCTGATCCAATTCTTCGTACATTGTGCTTTATGAATATGTGTTTAACGACATCATCGAATATTTCGTCTCTTACATCTTCCTAACCATTAGATTTATTTTACAGTCATCACTATCAAGATCAACATAAAACCAGGCATTACTGACTGCACAACAGTCCAAGTTGCCACACTTCATATCACTACATCAAGTAACAAGGCTATAAAATGGAAGATGAAGAAAATTCGGTCAAAGGAAGTAGAATAAGGAAGAATGAGTTAATAAAAGACTGGGTGTATGCATCTCCGCCACTGACATCAGTTCTGAGTCATACCACCTAGAGTCATTCTCCAACCACCAGTTTCTCTCGTCCCACGGACCCCAACCGACTAGTCTCCATCGGCCCATGTGGCTCAAACCAACAGTCAAACACTTCATACACTGATGTCATGCTTAGTCTGGCTGCCTCCAGCCTGAATCTACTTAAATCAACATTGTGCGACGAGGCAGACAGCGGCTAGACTTATGTAACATATGTTCCAGTCAGCTATCTCAGTCGATCAACATTCACAATCTCGTCAACTGTCTTACCTCTCCTTCCTAAAACTCTACACCTGGCTTCTGTGTTAATCATGTGGTGACACCACAACACACCATGGTGTATTCTACGAAGTAAACTGCAGCACAGTTCACTTGGCTTTTAATACACATTTGGATATCGCGACGGCACCACAAATGGCGTCAGTTGGCAAAAAGCTAACCAAACCTTACGTATCCGCCCAGTGATTTCTTCGGTGACTGACCAACGCTTCAGGGTTAATCCAACTTCCCAGGTAAGTGAAGTGTTCAACGCGCTCAACCACTTCACGCTTTATTGTTAGTCGAAGAGTAGTCCTGAAGCAACAGTTTGCAATTGAGTGGCAAGAAACACATCCCAAACGTTCTCAAAGTGCAACTGAAGGTGTCTAGAAGACTTTGCATCTTGTCGGTGCTTTCATTTAACAATAATATTTGTTGATATACTTGTAATTGTCCGTTGTTATATTGGATCAAATTGTTTGGCTCGTATACGGATGCCTCGAAATTGCCTACTAATTGATCATTATAATCTACTGAGTTGTAGCTAGTAGGGGATTCGAGGACTCGTATTTCGTCCTATATGGGACTCATCAGCTGGATGTACCTGCATCCCCACTGGCATTCGAACACACAACTCATCGTTTCAAGCTCCATAGTTGGCTATTGTAGCTCATTGGCACAGTGGATAATGCTTTCGTGTTTGGAGCGATAGACAGTAGGTTCGAATGCCAGTGGGGGTGCAGTTACAGCTAGATGACGAATCCCATATAGGACGAAATATGTCTTCTATCCCTCTGCTAACCACAACCAAATGGATTATATTCCACATGTTAGAGGTCAGTTGGCTAGAAATCTTGCACACAAGCCTTACTATTAACTTATCCAGATAAAGTCTCTGAATTCAGGATTGAGTGAACACCAATTCTAATCACTGAAGAGAACATTAGTTATATATTCCTAATGATTGTAGATACACCTCACCGTGCATCGCAGTACGGCGTCACTGTATACATAATCGATAGGCGGTCAGCGTTGAACGTACTGAGGATATTAGACCAATTCATGTCCTCAGTTTTATGAAAAATACGTAACTTACCACTACTATACTCATTTTTCTATTCCATACACGATGCCAAGTGATTCACAATAGAAAGCTCAGTGATGCCTTTGAAATGAAGACAGGATGGTGTAAGACAAGGTTGCCGTCTACTATCACCGATCATCTTCCTGATTGTGGCCGACTGGACTGAACTGGATCATGAAACAACCTGTGAGGATCGATGAAAAGACTCTAGAAAATTTCAATTTCGCCGACGATGATGGTATACTCGAAGATCTACAGGCGACAGCTAACAAGTTAGCAGAAGAGTCAGGACAGCGAAGACGCCACTTCCTTCAGGTAAATGTAGAGAAGACAGTGGTGATGAAGATACCCAACCACCACCAACAACAACAACAACAAGTATCAATCACCGTGAACGGTAGAAATCTAAACAAAGTTGTCTCTTTCACCTACCCACCCACCTACCCAAGCAGCATTCCATCCTTTCAACTACAGGTGGTGGAACAGGCACACACATCAGGATGTGAAAGCCAGAATCGGGAAGACAGCAACACAGACAGGCAGGCAGGCAGGCGTTCATAAATCTGAAATAATCAGTGTCGAAATCTATTGCACTCAGCACAAACAACAACATCCAGATTGTCAACACTAATTCAGTCAACTAAGTCAGTGCTTCTATGTGACGGTTGAGAGACTTGATGTGTTATGAAAAGCATTTGTAACAAACTACAGACATTCATCATCAACAACAACAACAACTACCACCTACCTACACTCGTTACTGAATATCAAATGTGATGGTTAGAAAGAATAAACGAGAAGGCAGTCTGGGTTGGCAACTAATCAACCAACAAAGCAAGAAGCTATCAGTCAAGAAATATGTAGAAGAAGGAAGTGGAGATGGATTGAGTATAAACTGAGAAGACCATTCGGATACATGACACACCAGGCCAGGGCTAGCATCAAGTGGGATCGAAATGGGAGAGAACGAGTTTGGCGTCTGAGGCGAGTGTGTGACATGGAGGAGATGGTGTGGGGAAGCAATGAAAGGTGATGGGCTGTGGTTGAGCCAGGTTGAAAAGACTAGAGAGGAGAATAAAATGGTGACGTGCTACTGACGCCCTATATTCCACTAATACACGATACAAGACAATAAAATGAAATACTAGGTGATGATTGCAGATGGAATGAAAATTAGGACTACGACCGGATTCGAACCAGCGGCCACGGGTTTCCAGCCTGATGCTCTAACAACTAAGTTGCGACTACGGTCAAAATTTTCATTGCATCTTTAATTCACCACCTAGCATCAATAGTAGTCTGACAAATCCCTACTGATATCTCAGATAGTCAAAATGATAAAATGAAAGGGAATAACAGTTTCCCTTTTTTTTTGGAAGAAAGTTGAGGAAAAGCATGAAACAAACAATAAAGGGAATAACAAAAGCGTGAACCTAAATGTTTCCTGTGGGTTATGTTTGTAGATTAGACTGAATTCGCTTCCAGTTAGTAAAATGTCATCGAGCTGGTGTGTAGCACAAAGGAAGCAAGAGAGAGAGAGAGAGTTGTTCGTGGATAGAATAGTTCCTTGTGGTTGGTACACTGGAGAGTTGCTGCTAGTCTGCGCCTTAACAGTGTAGAGTAGTGATACTCTATGTCTCACTCACACTCCTTGTCAAAATGACATTGTACTTATATTTTTACTGTATGTGTCTTTTTTTTGTTTTTGTTTTAAACGACATTATGGCTGGCATATTTTCCGATAATCTATCTGTGCTTAAATTAGACAGTCTCTCTCTCTCTCCTATTTCTATCGTTTATCGCTTCATGAATCGATCACATGTATACTGTGACAGAAGGAGGATTATCAAGATAAATCGATCTATCATTCTGATTCTGTCTCTGTCTCTCTGTGTATGTGTGTGTGTGTGTGTGTGCGTCTTTGTGCTGTCATGAGAATAACAAACTTCTGTGTTTGTTTTCATTTTATTGTTGTTTTGTTAGATAGTATTATGCAGGCGAAAACTCTGTGTGTGTGTGTGTGTGTGTGTTTGCTTCTGTTGTTTGTTCCACTTTCGTTGTCATCACTCATAGTGGTGATGATAGTAATCACCGACCTTAGGTGACACATGTATGTTTTCCATGCCTTGTTTCATGTGTAATATTTCACACTGTAACAGCACTTGTGGATACCACCAGTAGAATGTTTGGCGGTATATACTCTAAAAGAGAAAGGGGTTTCAAACGAGAGCTGTGACTCAACGGTGTTCACAGTTGACTGTGAATCGAAGGCTGAGTGTACTGTTCTAGTCTACCAGGCGAATTGAAGATACTTGGATAGAGAGGTGTCTTATACAAGTGAGAGTTATCGATTACTTCAGATCGTATTTTGTTGTGACAAAATTGGATCGGCCCAGGGTGTATGTGTTCAGTGAACGTGAATACTCGTACCACATGCTGTTGGGTGCTATACACAAACATTGAACAACTTTTCAGAAATACAATTGGTGGAATTACAGTTTTTGAACGATTTTTTTTTACCATACTCAGTATAGTGTACTAAACTTATAACCTCAATTCTCATACGCTTGAGCATATTGCTTAGATTTGAAGAAGACAAAATAGACACAGAAAACGGTTCAAGTTACCTTCTACAGAACATCAATCGAGAATGCCTATAAATTAAAGGAATATAGAAAAAAGCAATAAAAGAATGCAACAATGCTGAAATTTAAAGGCTTCATGTAGTGATATTATGTTTTAGTCTGGTCAACTCTAACTATTTTCCATATTTCAACCTGAGTAAGGCGACAGTAGGACCTCCTTTTTTTCTGCATACCTTACATTGTAAAGACTATCTATCCACCATTTCCTCTTTAGGATATCATGTGGAGACAGAAGTCAGCATATCACGAAGAACAGTATATTTCGAATGAAAGTCTACTTGTTCGTCGTTGGGTATATCGATGACTCCATCGATTACTATTCGTCTATTGTTCTCTCTACGACTGACGATTTCTTGTTTATATATATATATATATATATATATATATATATATATATATATATATATATATATTCGCAGTCTTTTGAGCCTGGCTTCACGACTGCCCATCACCTTTCATTGCTTCCCCCACACCATCTCCTCCATGTCACACACTCGCCTCAGACACCAAACTCGTCCTCTCCCATTTCGATCCCACTTAATGGCTAGCCCTGGCCTGTTGTGTCATGTATCCGAATGGTCTTCTCAGTTTATACTCAATCCATCTCCACTTCCTTCTTCTACATATTTCTTGACTGATAGCTTCTTGCTTTGTAGGTTAGTTAGTTGCCAACCCAGACTGCCTTCTCGTTTATTCTTTCTAACCATCACATTTGATATTCAGTAACGAGTGTAGGTAGGTGGTAGTTGTTGTTGTTGTTGTTGATGAATGTCTGTAGTTTGTTACAAATGCTTTTCATAACACGTCAAGTCTCTCAACCGTCACATAGAAGCACTGACTTAGTTGACTGAATTAGTGTTGACAATCTGGATGTTGTTGTTGCTGTCTTCTCGATTCTGGCTTTCACATCCTGATGTGTGTGCCTGTCCCACCACCTGTAGTTGAAACGATGGAATGCTGATTGGGTAGATGAAAGAGACAACTTTGTTTAGATTTCCACCGTTCATGGTGATTGATACTTGTTGTTGTTGTTGGTGGTGGTGGTGATGGTTGGCTATCTTCACCACCTGTGTCTTCTCTGCTCCGCCTCTTCTGCTAACTTGTTAGCTCTCGCCTGTAAATCTTTGTGATATAATACCCACGACATAAATCATCATCGTTGGCGAAATTGAAAAATTGTGGGGTTTTTTCATCGGTCCAGTCAGCATATACCCATCTTCTCACAGCTACTCACAGTTTATTGCATCATTCAGTCCATCACAATTAGGATGATCATCGGTGATAGTATCGTATATATATTTGGTGTGTTTTACACACCGTCTTATATTGAGTAACAAAATAATGAACATTTTGCTAACTATGTTGATCTAATTACTAAAATGTTAATATTTTTTCTTTTCTTTTTACCCCACTCGCCGCTGCCGCCGCCGTCGTCGTCGTCGCTGCAACTCTTACTCGTGATTACTACCATTATCAAGTCAATTTAAAAGGTCATTTCAGTTATCATGGTCATTTATGTTTAGTATTTGAATTACTCTCATATAATCTTTATGATCTACTCGGTAATACAAATTATCGTGGTGTCTCTTTAAATTTAACACGAAAATTTGCCCAACAATTATGTGCTGCATTAGTATTCCTTTCTAGACCAGATGTACATGTGATACATTGTGATTTAAAACCAGAGAATATATTATTAGTCAATCCAAAACGTTCTGCTATTAAAGTTATCGATTTTGGAAGTTCTTGTCATGTACATGAAAAAGTTTATCAGTATATTCAGTCAAGATTTTATCGGTAAGTTGTATACATTTCATTGTTTTGTAAGAAATTTCTGTCTATTATCTTATCTTTCCCATTGTTCTTATCATTCACCCTTCTCTTTGAGTTTTGTGTTTGTGTGTGGAGGGGGGGGGGGGGGGTTCGCCTGTGTACATGTTTCTCCTCCCCTTTTGTTCGAATTTTTCCATTTGTTACGTAATTACAATAATCCTTGTTGGACTCTCTCTCTGTGCATACATCTCAATGTATTATTATTATTATTCGTCCCTTGGGTTCCTAGTGGAACATAGGGATTCAGTAGCACGTCTCCATTCCACTCTCTTCTCTGTAATCTTATGAACCTGGTTCCAAGACAGCCAACAAGCTCTTATTTCTTCCTTGCACGATCTCTTCCATGTCACCATCGGACGCCCAACTCGTCGCTTCCCATCTGGGTTCCACTCGAGTGCCTGGCCTGACTCGTGATGTCCCCGAATGGTCTTCTCAGTTTATGTCCAATCCAATCCATCTCCACTTCCTTCCAGTGCATACTTGTTCAGCGATGGTTTCTTGCTTCGTTGGTTCGTTGCCAGCCAGCCAGAGTTCCTTGGTGCTTATTATTTCTGCCCATCTGATCTTCAGTAACGAGCCAGTGTAGGCAGTTGTTGATGAATGTCTGTAGTTTAGTTGAAATCCCTTTCGTTACGCTCAAGCACTGACTTACTTGATGAATTGGTGTTGAAAATCCGGATCTTGTTCCACATACTGAGTGCAGAATATCTCCACACTGATTTCAGGCTAATGAACATTTGTCTTGCTTTTCCGATCCTGACTTTGACATCCTCGTCTGTGCCTGTGGCGCCTGTAGTTGAAACAGTGCTGGCTAGATAGGTGAAGGAGGTTACTTCTTTTAAGTTTCTCATGTTGATGATGATCGGAGTTTGTTGTTGTTAGTGGTGGTGTTGGCTGGGTATCTTCATCACCTCTGTCTTCTCTACGTTCACTTGAAGTCCCGTTTTCGCTGCCCTGCCTCTTCTGTCAACTTGCTGCATTTTGCCTGTAGATCTTCAAGTTTGTGTGACACTAAACACAAGTCATCGGCAAAATCCAAGTCTTCTAGGTTTTTTCCGCGGTCCAGCGTATGCCCCTCTTCTCACTCCTCATTGTTTACTGCATGATCCACTCCACCACAATCAGGAAGATCATGGGTGATAGTAGGTGGCAGCCTTGTCTTACTCCTGTCTTCACTTCACGCTTCAAAGGCGTCACTGAGATTTCCATTGTGGATCACATGGCATGTGCGACTTCATATAGCTGTTGAATGAGGTTGATAAAGATTTGTGGCACTCACTCCGTAGTGTTGAAGCAACTACCTGTCAAATTACTTGTCAGTCGACGATGTCGAAAGCCTTTTCAAAGTTGATGAAGTTGAGGTACTGGTAGAGAGTTGACTGCCATTCTGTATTCTGTTATATGATGATGCATTGTATAGCGTTACAATTTGATGTACACATGATTTGTTCTTCGTGAAGCCAGTCAGGCTGTTATGGTGGTAGTTTTGAATCCAGTGCATCGTTTAGTCTCTCCAGGATGGTGCGGTATAATATTATGCTTGCATTGGGTGGACAGGAGGATGATTCCTCATCAGGTCTTGTAAAGACTTAGGTTACCCTTCTTTGGGATTTGGGAGTTTGACAAGGTAGCCCTTCTTCCAATCGGTAGGTACCTTTCCTTCCTTCCTTCCAAACCTTCTGCAATGGTGGTGTGAGCATGTCCGCTGTTGTCTCTGAGTCTGTTTTCAGTGCCTCTGGGGGAATTCTATCTGGTTTTTGCTGCTTTCCCGCATTTCGACAGTTTTATGGCATTTAGGACTTCTGCTTTTGTCGGAGGGTGTGTGTGTACTGGTAGTTCTGTCGTTGCTGGTGGTATTTTTCAATGAGTTGCAGGTGATAGTCGACTCAAGAGTTTTTTGAAGTGGTCAACCCAATGTTTCCTTTGTTTCTCCTCTTTGGTGGTAACTAGGTTTCCTTCACTATCTTTCATTGGTTTCATCTGCGTTTATCTCTTCCCTCCCAGATAGTAGCGTGGTTATTTGATTCAATGTTGTCAGATCTCTCCTACCTGCTGCCTGTTCTGATTTACTTACAAGTGTGTCGTAGAAGTATGTTTTGTCTTTCAGCACACTCTTCTCCACTTCTTTGTCCAGTGTTTTATAGGTTGTATTCAGTTCTTTTCGTTGTGCATCCTTGCACTGGTTCATCTGCCTAACCGTCTTCCTCTCCGTGCTCTATCAGCTTCCATGTGTCGGTCGAGATCCATTTCTTTTCTTGATTCCTTTTGCTTCCTACTACGGTTATTCAAGTTTCCTTCCACACCCTATCCTTCAAGGATATTGCTCAGTGTCTCCCATTTTGTTCTGATGGCTGACATGAAGATGTCCTTTATAGTTTTGTCCTTCAGTTCCTGGGTGTTGAACTTCAACCGTGGTCTATCACCAACTTCTTTGAAGGCTTTCAACTTGATTTGGAAGGTTTCTTGCACTAGGTAGTTGCCAAATTACTTCTTGGTCTGAGCCTCAATTGAATGTCTTTTCAAAGTGGATGAAGTCGAGGTTGAGTTGAGTAGACTGGCATTGTATGCTGTGTTCTATGATGATGATGATGCGTAAGGTGGTGTAGCGTTGGAATTTGATCGACACATAATTTGTTTTTCGCGAAGGCAGCCAACCAGCCAGACAGTAAACTGTTCGGGTTGTAATTGTGAATGCAGAGCATGTTTTAAAATTTCGCCTGGATGATGCGGACCCATTTAGCATTTACCAATTTGCCTTATACTCTGACTGGTGATACATGCAACTACCTGTTACAGGTTGAGTATACTTCACTGCATTCAGCTCTGTGTTGTAATACGTCTGCGAGACATGGCCGTCTAAAGTAGAAGACATGAAGCGATTACAGGGTTTTGATCACAGATGTAGCATTGTTCGCGTTTGGTGGAACCACCTCGTGAGCAAAGTGGAGGGCGGGCGAAAAGTACTAGACAAGAAATGCGAATCGATTGATGGCTATATGAACTTTTATCGTTGGGATAGCTTAAACATGTATCGCGCATGCGAAACCAACACCTACCTCGACGTGCTTTGTTTGAGGGAAGTTGGATTAGTGTGGACGAGGGTTTATGATGGCCAGACCAAGATGCAGTAACAGTCTATAAAGTCCCTGAATATTTAGCTGAGCTGCATCGAAGGTGTAGACTAACCTGGAAGGGGTTCTCGAGATGACTCTTGGTGACTGGGCTAAAAATTGGTAGCAGTGGCGCAGATGTGTTCACACCCCTGACATCTTCTGAAGCTTGAATATTTACACAGACCTGTATCTTCAAACTTTTTATTCTCCTATATAACTTTGTCCGTTTTTTCATCAGTCTTTTTCTATCCACCTGTTCTTTGAATACTACTGTGAAATGTAGAAACTTGAGGTGATGCACTTCTGTGCGTGATTCTATGTTGATTTCGTCTGTCTGTCATGGTTACCATTCATTCACAAATTGCATGCACTGTCTGGTCGTCGATATCGAAGTAGATGTTTGTTATAAGGTGGCCGCTTACCGAATCTTTAATTTAAAATTTGATCTGCGAGACACTTGTGGTGCTGCATTCTCATGGTTATCGACCCCTTCCTCCATTATGGATGGTATAGTCTATGTTTATGGTTGGTTTGGAATCCGGGTGTCTTGAATCCTTTGGGCGTACATTCTATGTGCACCTATCCGGTTATGGCTTTCGTCCTCTTACTTTTCTGAAAGGATCTCCAGGCACAAGAAGTCCACGATTGAGACTTCTTCGACCAGCGGCTATGAACACAAGCTATATGAGGGTATTTCAAGGAGGAGGAGGGATGACTGGGTCATTCCACGCTCAATCATGCCAGGGCATTTGGAGGCAGGTGAAGTTTCCCAGCGTAATATTTCCGGATATAGTATTAATCAGACATGACTGACTATATGCATCAGTCATCCTAATTGTGTGTCGGTGTATGAGGACCCATACTAATTAGTTGGTAGGTATGGTCGCTTATAGGTGATTTATGATATATCATATCATACCCTTTTTTTTGGTCCTTTTTAAAAAAATCTTTCTCATTCTATTACCGCTGTTAATTACTTGTCTACTACTTGACTCTTTAAAATATAACAACTTTAGTTTGAGTCACAAAGATGCTATAGTATTTTAGTTATAGGAAGCCCAGTAGTATTGTAGTAAGCGCTGCTGATCAGAATAGAAATAAGTAGTATATGTTGAGAGGGCGGCAGAAATCATAGGGAATTACCAGGAATGAGTAAATATTCTGCGCGGAGAAACGCAAGAGATAATATGAGCGTATTAAGATCTAATCGAAATAGAAGCAGAAGAGGAAATGAAGCAGATTGTGCAAGTAACTGTTCTTGTGGAAAGTACTGTACAAGATTTCAGTAATAAACATTCCTTCCTGCATCAGTCTTGTTGTCCCTTACAGTACATATTGTAATAACTGAGAAGTTGTACAGATTATCAATTAAGCCTTTCAATGGGTTATCTCGACCAGTTTTATATCCTGCTGATTTTATGTGATGTTAAATATACTATTGAATAATATATAAGTAGTTAACTAGCTACCATGCATACTAATCAGTGACAGGTATTTACATGGTGATCAACTTCAGCTCTGGTATATATCTGCGTATATTCAAATCAGTAGACTTCAGTAGATCAGTTCAACAGTTAAATTAAATTATCCAAATCAGATTAGGGTCGCTGAGATGATAGAAATCAGTAGTTGAAGATTCTTGATGAAATGGTTGAAAATTTCTTCTAAAGCTTAATTACTTGCACTAACCTTTATCTTCAGATTATTTATTTCCTCACTCAACTTTGTCTACTTTGGTAGTATCAGTCTTATTCTATCCACCTGTTCTTTGTGTACTACTATGAAGTGTGGCAACTTGAACTATGATACACTTGCGTATGATGTTCTACTTTGATTTCGTCTATGTGCCTG